TTCCCTACTGCAGCAGTATGCGGGAAGGGAACAAATTTAAGACAGCCCTCCAATAATTAGATTCTATACATGGAAGATGTGCAAATTTCTTATAATTTTCCACAACTAGAATCCAATTATTGGGGAGGGGTCATCTTAAATACAGGGTCATTTTGGATTTGGGTGAATATGGTACCTCTTACACTAATGCAGTTATTTAAATGCTTTGTTTAATATTGATAATAATACACATGGAATTTCAAAACAAATTCTTATATACAACAGTTAATACCAACATCATTTGCTATTTTAATGCATTTTAAGAACATTAACCTGATGCATGTTTAGAGTGTTTGAAAAACAAGAGAGAAAAGAAGGGAAAAATAAAAACTGGCTGCAGAAATTAAAATAACTTGCTTTTGAATGAGATGTAAAATAGGATCCCTCAATATGTAGTCAGAAGCCAGCTGAACTAGGAAAGTTGCATATGATAGTTACGATAATATTTTTCATACATTTTCATAGCTTGTTCTGGCCAACATCAGAAACGTTCCTTAGTCCTCTATCTCAGTTATTCCCATCATTCCTACTTTGGATGAAAACGTTAAGACTGCATAGTTGTTAAAAGATATATTTTTCTTTTATACACTCTTATAAGAAGTTACTAAAATAATAAATACATTACAAATGCTTGCAAAGCAATATCTAGTACAAAACAAACATATCACTTCATACAGAATAACAAAAAATGATTGCCAGGTGTGACATAAAACAATGGAATTCAACATCCCTGGACACCGAGTTTAGGGTACACATGAAAAATATGAATGTTCTTAACATGCATTAACTGAACAATTAAACAAAATTTCATTACATACATAAAGAAAAAATATTTACCTTTGTTGCAAGTTGTGAGACAGAAGATGTAACTTCATCATGAAGAAACTGATCCTCATTCTTAAAAAAAAATGTAGATAGTTCAATCAGTTCTAGTTGGATAGCAAGCAAGTAGAAAAAACTAAAACAAGCATAAAATGATGCTTTTATTGTTCAGTCTATCTCCATGGCAAATTATATTATAATATTCAACTTAAAATATAACAAAACCAAAATATCCTATAAAAAAGCAGTAAGTGATTCAGATCAATGCAAAAATGTATGTGAAAAGTTAAAAAAAAGTTTAACCATTATAAGTACAAAAATAATCATCCATTTGAAAGTAATGATTTTACAATTTTCTACTAATTCTACTTCGATATATTCCTGAAGTCTTATTTTGATTGCTGTATTTTTCCGATTACAATATCATACCTATATGTACTTTTCCTAACCCATAAACTAGCTCTCTAGTTAAGTGCAGAGCAGCCCTGGCTGGCAGAGAGCCCTGGGGGTCAGCCTGCCAGCCCAAGACAGCTTCCCCTCAGCTCAGTATGCTTCAGAGAGGTTGGCTGGGGCATGAGAGTACTTCAGTGCGGGGCTAGCCAGCAGATGCGACAACCTTGTGTCCCACGGGTGTGACACCCTTGTGTCCCTGCCAGCCCCATCAGCATCTACATGTGTGTTGCAGCACAGTAAGTAACTCCACTGTAGAACAGTACTTGTGTCTAGCAGTACTATCCTACAGCAGAGTTAATTAGTTTACTCCATCCTAATAGCACTGCACGTGTAGATTTCACTGAAGAATTAATTAGTCAACTCTGCAGTAAACACCTCCTATATACATGCCATATGTGTACTTCTACACCATATTATCACTAGTCTTATCCCCAAGTTGAAGTAAAGTTAATCTTGACCGCTTATTCTAATTGGAGTTTTTTGTACATCTTCCCTAACATCCTCACTAAATTCCATGTGCAATATTCCACTTATTTACATTTCCTCAATGGAATACATTCCTGTCCATAAATGTGATGTCTCATTCCTTGTATTCTCTCTCAATATAGGAATTGGGCATCATAAAATGAAACTAATAGGTAGTAAGTTTAAAACCAATAAAAAGAAGGGGTTTTTTCCACGTAGTATGTAATTGAAGTGTGGAACTTACTGCCACCAGATGTTGCAGAATGTGACAGTTCTCCAAGAATTTGTCCAGTCTGTTTTTGAATCTGGCTGAAGAGGCGTCAGTAGCTACTGAGCACAGGAATTAGGGATCCAGCCTCTGAATCAGAACTTCCTAGACCCTAACTGCTGGAGACTGCAAGTGAAACAGGCACACAGAATCACAGACTCATGGAAAATGAGGGTTGGAAGGGATCTCAGGAGGTCATGCAATCCAACCCCCTGCTCAAAGCAGGAGCATCCCTAACTAGATCATCCCAGCTAAAACAGCGGGGAGAAAAATCTTTGGTCATACCAAATTCACTCTCCCTTTCCGCATCTGCTCTCGGCCTCTGTTGCGTGACACAGACCTATTTGATGTGCCACGGGGTTATGGGCTGTGGCCCATCACGAAAAAGTATAAGCCTACCTTAATAAGGGAGGCCACTAGGGACACATCAACTGATTTACACCAGCCAGTGCCCAATGGCCCCTGAATAAAATGAGGGAGCCTGTGGATACCAACCAATGAAAAACTCTGCTTGGAGACATGAACAGACTGGAAGACAGCCCCACACTCGCCTGGGTTTCCCCCGGCTAGAGCCTCCTTCCAAAGGTGTAGGGAGAAATGTAGCCAAAACCTCAGCAGGAGGTTCTGGAGAAGGTGCAAGAGGGGCTGCAACCTCATGCACTCAAGGTAGCTCCCTCTATTGCCAAAAGGGGCAAGTGCTGAGAGTCTCCATAAAGCACACCAGATACAGGTCTGTGGTGATGGTTCTGTGGAGAAGCCACCAAGTCCAGGGACAGAAATTACACAAACTAGTATAAGCAACAGAAAACTACTGTTCAAATCTGTAACATAGCAGAAGTTCAGTGCACATAAACCGCTTTCAAAATAGCCAAAACCGGTTTAGGATAAACCTGGATGGATGTAGTATCGGACTTAACTGATTTAGGTCAAATTGGTTTACTGAACTTCTCTCTCAGATCCCCCCTAGATTCAAGTTAACTGAAAGTCCCCCAACATCCCAGGATGTTTTTCATCTCCCCTGAAAACAACCCCCTTGCAGGGTGGGTGGGCTAACCTTGGCCCAAGCTATCTGCTCCAGCTGAGCAGGAAGGCATGCTCTAGCACCCCTCCAGCTTTGGCCTTGAACCAGTGCAGGCACATGGCTGCATTTCCAGAATCAAAAGTGAGTGTCTGTTCACTTGCTTATCAGTTCTGTTTACACAGCTTAGAGAAACCTGTGAAGACTGAATTGATTCAGCCTCAGGCTTTCTGACTTTCTGTACTTAGCTCAGCTGAGGTCCTTGGTGGCTCGTGGAATCAAAGTGGAACACAGACTTGTCCAATAGGGACCACTGCCCCCACCTTTGCCTTGGGTGTTCCACCACTTGTCAGGAGATGGGATGATAGACTGTGAAGAACACGAACATATAGAGCTGCCGGTGGTGCGCTGTTTCAAGGCAGACCAGCTTGGTATCCCTCAGCCTGCTAAGATGAAACTATGAGATTCCCCAGGGCGCTGTGGGGTCTGCCAAGGCTACAGCTCCACAACTAGCTCTGAACAGCTGGGGGATATGAGGGCAGGGAATGCCCTAGCACAGGACCTAGTGAGTGTAGGCAGGGGCAGAGGGTGGCAGGGCAGACCACCTCCTGAAGCAGCAGGGAGCATACACAAAGAGATCTACCCATCCCCACCTGGCATAGATCAGGAGGTCTCCAATATGAGTCATTTTGGTCAAGACCATCTTCCGGCACACCTAGGGCACCCCCATCTCTGGCACCACCAGCTGCAGGTTTTTCAGCAGGGGCTCTACAAGGAGGTGAGCACCCTGGGCAACCATCTCTGGGTAGCTACAAGCACAGACCACCCACCAGGCCCTGAGGAGGTCCTGGCAAAAGTCCAACAGCTCCTCCAGGTCCTGTTTGGGGAGACCCCAGAGGTAGGAGAGTTTATGAGAACCCTCAGAGGCAGTGAAGGAAGGTGAAGGCAATCAGGCACCACGTTACCTGGCTACCAGCACAGTACAGGAGCCTCTGCAGGGTCTGAAGGCAGAAGGTGTGGACCTGGTTGTGGAGGTAGACCCTCCTGCCCACCCTCCTGCAAAGTGAGGCTCAGGGCACTTTCAGAGACCCAGTGCCCATATCTGGAGACTGGCCAGGAGCTCTGGGGCCACAGTCAGGGTGCTGAAGCAGTGCCAGAGCACAGGAAGCCAAGTCTGGCCCTTGTGCCACACCCACCCCACCATACCGCCCTGCAGACTACAGCTCCCAGCATGTCTGAGAGCCACACACAGAGATAAGGCAAGCTGCACCAGGCAGCATCTCTATGCCCAGGAGTGGCGGAATAGGGCGCAAATGCTACAGCCAGGGCTGCCCGTCATACCTGGGCTGGGCAGGGCCAAAGGACCTGCCCCTACCCAGGTAGAATCACCTAGCAGGCTGGCTCTGGCTCACAGGCCATATTTTGCCCACTCCTGTGTTAACATATTCCAGCATAACAATACCCCTTAATTTAGTTCTGTCTGTTCCTTGTGCAGTTTTAAAGTGGTGACCCCAGAAAGGAAATAAGGATCCATACAGAGCCACTACTACTTGGGGAAAATGTGGGAATGGGAGGACACAGAACCCTTGGCATGGAGGTGGAAGGAGAATAAATACGACACACATGGTAGTGGAGGATGGGAGAGGGAAGAGGTGGGGGGGTTACAGACAGTCCATGAAATAAGGTGGATGGGAGGATGGTAGACACTGAGCTTTTGAAGAATGTATAAGAATCAGCCATTTAAGCACAAACCTCTACACTACTATATCTTTATTACTAGAAGATCCAGCAACTTCAAGTTAAAAAGTTATTATTGATGAAACTATGTTCCCCTCTATTTTTCCTTCAACATCACATATTAGTTCATGTTTTGATTGATAAATATATTTTATTTCCCCTTTTATTTTTAATGGGAAGTAGATTTTTTTAGATTTTACTCTAGGTTTCCTTTCATTGCATATTTCAAGGTCAGATTGCTTTATCATACTATATAATGAATTTGGACATTCTGGATTGTTTCAGAAATATGCAATGAAATATTAGTTTAGGTAATTTGCAGTATTATTCTATTTCTTTTTACCTCCATGTTAAACTTTTTGGAGAATACTCCTCTAACTAAATGTTAATATTCCATGCATATGAAAAACCCTGATAGACAACTTCAATGACCTTCCAATTTTGGCAACAGAATGTTAGTACATACAATGTGTTTCCACAAGGAAAACACAAGTGTTCTTTTGTTGGACACACTGCAAACTATGAAGTACTCAAGGGATTAATTCAATAAGCATACACATTTTTGTACAAAGGTTATTGTGTTGATCTACTTTCCTTAGTTTCTTTTGCAAAAAGGAATGAATCCATCTTTTGTTCATTCATTTTAAGGATGCAGGCTAAACTTAGAGAGCCTGAACATCAAACAATTAAAAGCATGATAAGACAGGCTTTAATGCACAAAGTAAATGATTATTTCTTTTTTATTTCTAAGTGTATCAACCCTTATATAAAATACAAACTGGATTTTAAAAATCAATGCAAACACAAACTTATAGATCTGGATAATGATTATTTGAACTGTAACTCATTTAAACATAAACCATCTCTCCTGCTGACCTCTCCTTATTATCTCTTCTGATCCCTAACCAGCTCATAAAAGAGAGTTAGCATGCTACAATTTAAAATCTAGACTGTAGTGAATACAAGTGTTAGCTACATTAAAAACTGGAGATACTTAGTTTCTCATTGAAAACAGCAAAGGTTATTCAAGAAAAAGAATCATATTTTCATCCATCCCCCATATCTGAAAAAATATTTTGAAAAAAAAAAAAGTTTAAAATCACTTGGGAAACTACAAAACTGCAAATTAACCTC